AAAAGCATCGTCTGCCCGTCTGTCCTATGCTATATCGCACGCCCCGACGCGCAAGTCCATCGAGCCTTCTGTGAGGCGGGGGGCCACGACATGCGTCTAGCGGTCAAGCCGGACAAGAGCAAACTCGCCATCAGAGCGCGCATGGGTCCCAGTGGAGTCCTGCGCTGCGCTGCGCTGCGACTAGCCCGACTGGCCCACAAAAAGGAGCGGCATCCGCTGCGTGCTCGCCGGATGACGCTGCGTGCGCGGATTGCAAAAGTGCTCGGGACCAAGGGATCAGCATTCCTCGTCTGCCTATTGTCGGGCCGGCTGCGAGGTGTGCGCCGTGCTTCGATCGCCTCTCGCCTCTCGTCTCAAAGCATCCAAGCGATGCGTCCAAACAGCGAGCCACACAGGCTGGCTGATGGCTGATACCGCAAGCTACCATGCGGCAGCGCTTGTGCCGCACATCGCCATTGCCGCACTCCTCAGCATTTGCCCCATCACTTGAGCGGATGGTGGCAACACGAGCGAAATGGCGCATGGGCCAGGGGCGGCAAAGCAGAATGGCGGAAAGTCGTGGGTGGGAGGGGTAGAGCTCGGCGTGAAGAGCGGGGCGGGTCCTGCATGACAGAGCTGGATCAGCTGCCTGCGGCTTGCTTGATTGCTCCTGCTCGTGGCAGTCGTCGAGAAGGCAGCTCTGTTTGCTCGACGCCGGAAAGAGATGCGCGTCGCTTTACTTTGGGCGCTTTGCCTGACGTGTGCGTGCGGCAGCCACCGCGTCAAGTCGTGGCTTTTGAGCCGGGCACTCGGCTCACATCGCTGAGAGAGGAGGAGGAGAAGTGCAGCGCATCCGAGCTGCCGCTGCCGCTGCCGCTGGTGCGTTCGATGTTGCGCCGCGCCGAGCAACACCGCACAGAGAGCGCGGTGAGCTCTTGCGCGGACTGTTGCGGTCCATCATGATCCGGTGCATCGATGCGAGTAGAGAGTGGGCGAGCGTGCGAGCGAGCGTGCGGTGTGTGTGCTGCAGCGTACTGCGGATGGAGGGCGGGAGGATGCAATGATGGCGTGAACATTCGTGGTTCGTGATCGCAGCACACCCGTACGTACACGCGCGGCTCTTCCTCGTGCCTGAGCGCGTCCTGTGTTGTACAGGGCAAACACGCCGACCCTAACCCTCACGACTGCCCAAGACGCGTCGAGATACGCGTCTTTTCAAAGCTGTGCTGTGGATGGGGGGGGCCGAGTCACGTGCGCTACGCATGAATCCGAATCACGTGAGACTTTCACGCGACTCAAGACTCACGACTCTTGACTCTTGACTCTTGACCTCCTGCTAGCCGAGACGCCGCCTGATGAGTCTGAGTTGTGCCCGCTCGCATCGTTGCAGAGACATGCTTTCTCAGCTAACTTAGGGCTAGCAACGAAGACGAGAGAAGGAGTGAGCACTCACTGCAAGCTTGCAAGACGTCACGCGGCACGAGGAGCCGGAACGTCCGGGCGAGCTGAGCGCGTGGATGCGCGTCGAGCAGAGAGAGCATCGAGGCGGGAGGGGCATGAGGCACAGCGGTCAGGATGGGGTGCGAGGGTGGGAGGTTGGATGCTGAGGCATGTCATGGCAATCTGAAAGTCGAGAGGGATCGAACAGTGGACCGCGGCCGGCAGACACGCGATGCGCTTCGAGGCTTTGTTGCGCGAATGAGTGAGCGCGCCCAATGCTCCTGCAGCTCAGCTGCGGCTTGATCGGCGCACTCGCGACGGATCCTAGAGGGGTGCATAAGTCACTCTGAGCCTTGCTCGTCGGTGCGCTGCCGGGTCTGGGCGGACCTCCGAAAGGAGCAACACGATGCTTTTCAGGCCGGAAGCTCGAGCGAGCGAGCGAAAGGCCAGTCAGTCGGCAACTTTTGAGCGGCCGATCGGCAAGCGCTCGGATCGGATCAACAAGTTGTTGGCGGCGTGCAGACGCGGTGGAGCATCTTCGCAATACCGATCGCGCCCCGAGCGCTCACACACATTGTCAAGCTTCGCATCGCATCGACGGACCCGCAACGAGACCAGGGCCAGGACGCGCGACGATGGCGCAGACGAGCCGCTCGATCAGTGGAGCGGGGCCATGCTTACGAAATCCTTTTTCCTGATCCGAGAAAGGACATGACGGCGCGGTATTTCGAGCCGGCGCAGCCAAGCCACGCAAATCGTCCTTCTTCTCGGCGGCGCATATGGCTGCTCAAACTCGCTGCGAGAGCAGTCCGAGACTTGCGTATTTGGATCTCCGATTGGGGCCCACGAGGGAGGGCCACCAGATCGGAGCGTTCTTGGGCGCATCGATACGCCTACGAAAATGTGGGACAAGGAGCAGACAGACATCCATCGCGCGTCTTTTGGACCCACCGGATGCAACGTCGATCGTTTGTCTGTTGGGAAGAGGGTCGCTTGTCAAGGGGCGTTGTGGCGCCCGCATTGAACACCTCTTTGCACCTTGTCGGTCACCATCGCAGCCACAAGCATCGCTCCTCGCCGCAATGCGATTGCGCAATCTTCTGGACGGAACACAGGAAAG